AGCGGCACCGTAGCAGCGGCACCGGAGCAGGCGGACGGCATCGAACCGTCGCGCACGGACAAACATCAAACGTCTCTTGTATTGTCAATTATTTTTCCGTTTTTTTTTCCTGATTACAGGTGTTGGGTGTGTGTGATGACTTCACTGGTTTTATAGAGACGCGGCAGAGATGGCGCCGATAACCCGGGTGCCTTAATTGTGTACCTGCATCGTGGAAGACCCCTTCAATGTGGAACGATTCCTAGTCAGTGTCGATGTTNGATTGCCGGTGTACCTCCTCGGGCTTGCGTACCCTTTCCTTGCTAATAGTGTGTGTTCTTTAGATCTTCTGATGGCTCTAGCATTTTTGTAACCACGGAACGAGTCTTTGCTAGATTTTGGGATTAGCAACTGACACGAGTTTAATGCGAAGAAAAACAACAACAACAACTGATCCAACACTCGACGCGGTCGATTCCCGCGGTCGCAGGTTGACTTACCCTAAAAAGGTACACTCAAATAAAATGGCCCCGAGGGGTCCGCAAGTCAATAGAAATCAACGACAGATATTCTGGAGTCCGCCATTCCCTCTGCGCGCTATAAGAGGTACCAACTGAGACTAGGGTTACCAATAAGGGCCGGAGAGAATGAGGTACACCCCCTTGGTTCAATCTTGGTACATCACAACGCAAGCAGAGACAAGGCCATCTGGCACAGAAAAGAGAGAAAAAGATAACATACAGATTGATACACAAGATGGCTACCAAACTGCCTTGTTGAGCCTGTTACCCACAGGGGAGTTATCGTTGTATGCTGTCTGGGAAACCGTAGACATACAGGTAGCCTTTCGCTCACGCTATGGATTCACTGGTAATCTATCTTAGACGTATTCTATAGTCTAGATGTCTTTTCGCCCTTGGCCCGAAGGCTAGATTGTACTCTACACTTCTGTTATTGTGAAGCAGCTCTGCAGCAGCTGAGGAACATTTCACATGTGAGGACATTCCACCCTGTGCGTCTGCCCTACCCGTTCCCCCGCGCCCCCAACCCACGGTAGGCTGGACGTTGGTGGTGCGTGTGAGCGCTGTTTTGCCTCTACTTACTCTCCATCCGCTTTGATTTCCCCCACGCGCGCCTTTCCACCACAAATTATCATTGTAGGTGGCACCATTCAAGGTGCCCAGGGACAGCGGGTCTATGCGAAACGGGGGCAGCCGGTGGTCCCGCAGATGCGTTCCGCTTCGCGAGAGAACTGCACGATCGTCACCACCGTCAACGCCGCCGGTGCCGTGTTGGCCCCTACCATCATCTTCAAAGGGCAGCGTTTCAACGGAGATTGGATCGTGGATCAGGACGGCCCGCCGGGTGCGACGTACACCTGCACGGAGTCGTCCTTCATGTGTGGTGACGTGTTCATCAAGTACATCATGGACTTCCACGAGCAGCTGCGCAAGCGCAACTTGCTCGATGGAAAACCCCATGTGCTCGTGCTGGATGGGCACGCGTCGCACGTGAGCTTGGAAGTCGTAGAGTTGGCCAGGTCCCTCAACATCCACGTCGTCCAGCTGCCCTCCCACATGTCCCACATCACCCAGCCCCTGGACGTCGCTGGCTTCGGGTGCTTCAAGAAGGAGCTGACCAAGGCGATCCAGGCCTTCCCGGCGACACACGGAGGGGCGTTGCCGCGGAAGCGGGACATGGCCTCCGTGATCGGGCAAGCGTGGAGCACGAGCTTTACGCCGGACATCAACAAAGCTTCCTTCGCCGGGGCGAGCCTTTGGCCGGTGGACAAGGAACGGGCACTCAGTCGGCTGCTGAAACCCAAGAGGAAGGAGAGGGAAACCGACCGCCCTCCCCTGCAAGACGTCCTCATCGCCGTAAGCAACGATCGGCTGGAGGAATTGCGGCGAACGCACTGTCCACAAGCTCCTGGGGGAAGGCCACACCCTCACGGGACTCCGCGTGAGCACGGTGTTTCTCGGCGACTACCTGCCCAGCAAGCGATCCAAGAAGCCGCCAACCCGGGCGAACTTGGGCATTCCAGAGGGAGGACTTCTCACTTGTGACGGG